CGCGTATTAAGGACACCGAAGAATTGATCGCCGTTGCGCTAAGATACCTCAGCCTAAATCTATATCGTAATAATATCTTGTCATCGTTTAACGATAACGTTGTCCACCGGCTAATTACACCAATTTTCGAACGTGTCGTTGCGTCGACGATGGACGACTGACCGCACGAGGAAGTAGTTGAATCGAAATGAAAGAGAGAAAGGAACTCGATAGTTCGATGGAACGGATATCTCGTTTGTCGAAGACTTTTTTTCTTTCGGAGAATCGCTTTCCAGCTCGCGATTCCCGGTGATCCCTTTGAAAAATATTTTACGCACGCTCCGCGAAGCAATCGATGACGATTAACGGATGAGACGCGCTCGTATAATAATTACAAAACGAACTATTTTCGCAACTACTATCGCTCGGTTAGTAAGTCACTTTAAAATCGGCTATCGAGACTCCTCTTATCTTAATTACCGTCGATGCGTTCGATCGTTCGATGTATTTATATATATATATATATATATATCGAATACTTATTATATACATACATGGAGACACATTATTACTTCTGTCGATCGACCGACCGAATACTCTTTAACGTTAACACTATTGTAAGATCAGGTTTATCACAGGGTGAGCCAGCCGTTTGGCTCGGGTCGTACGCTTACGGAACACACGCCTCGAATTTACACAAAAAAAGAAAAAAACAAAATTAGGAAATTTGTATGCTCTTAAAATCGATTCCCAACCCAGACCTAATATTGCTCGTTCGCCTCAAAGTATTACTTGTTACGTAAAAATGATTTTTTCCTTTTTATTTTTTTTCTAAATACCGAGGGCCTCTAAACAGCTAAGCGACCCGAGCTTCTCCCGATGTCTGAGTAGCCCCGATTAAGATGATAATTACATTAATTAAATTACCGTAGCACGTTCGTATATAGCTTGAATCGATTCGATCGATCGAGCACAGCACGTTTCGCCGTAACATCGATGTCGCTAAATATCAATCGGTATATCCGCCTGAAGCGCCAACAATAGTGAATAAAAGTAGCGAACGTTCGTTAATTGTACAAACCTAACAATAAGCTTTCGGATTGTTTACTTCCATATATACTTATATATATATATGTGTATACACGACGGGACACGCGCGTGCACGATGCACACACGCGCACGCACGCACACACGTACACACACAAACGCGCACATACACACACATACATACACAACACACATACATACGCTAAAGATTACGCTAAAGCATCTGCGCGATCCTTGTGATCCCTTGAACGGATCGCATAAGTACCGACTATTATTTTACTCGGACGAACTGATGCGTAACTCGTAAGTACCTACTACGATATACGATATCCTCACTAACAATTTACGTAACTGCTTGCGCGTTGCGCGTCGCTATACTCCAGTGCTCGGAATTACTTGCACATTTCGGGTCGATTCCTTAGGCACCGCCTACTGTACCCCCACTACCGCTCCAGGCTCGACGACTGAGCCGTAGATCGCGCACGTGACGCTGTGTTTCAGGGGCGTTTTATGGCAGATACGTCTGAATCCATCCGCGTGATTAAAAATTTTCTTTGCGCCGTCAGTATTTTTTATTCTCACAGATAATTAAAGTTATCGATATTATGCTTAGGTCTATAAACATCTTTTGTATATGGGGCATTCCACGTAAAATCCTGGTTCAAAAAGTATCAAATTTAAAAAGAGAACCGCTCTTCCTTTGGTTTTACGCTCGTAACTTTCTTAATAATGGTCGAAATTCGATTGTTTTCTTTTTCAAAATTTTCGTGTTTAGATGGCCTTTACAGAAAAATATACAAAAAAAAAAATATTTAAAGTGTTTTTAATCTAGATTTTTTAATTTTAAGTTTTCAATCGTATTTTTAAAACTGTGCGTATCCTTCGATTTTCTTGAAGATTTTCTATTTTAAATTGCAATTATTATCTTTATCTATATATATAAGAATGAAGCCCTGACTGATAACAATCAACGTCCAGGCTAAACCCTTGAACCTAGAGACCTGAAATTTTACAAAGAGGGTTCCTTGATGATGTATACAAGGAATAAGAAAGGATATTACGAAATTCAACACCTAAGGTAGTCGAAAGGGGTTGCATCGTTGGTATTCCACGCGGATGAAACCGCGGAATGCAACTAGTATCATATATTATTGTTATTATATGTATATGTAAAAGATGTTTATAGACCTAAACATAATACCAATAACGTTAATTATCTGTAAAAATAAAAATTACTGACAGCGCGAAGAAAATTTGTAATCACGCGGATGGATCCAGACATATTTATCGTAGGACGCCCCTGAGACACAGCGTCACGTGCACAATCGGCGGCTCGTCCGTCGAGCCTGGAGCGGTAGTGGGGGTACAGTAGGCGGTGCCTCAGGAATCGGCCCGAAATGTGCAAGCAATACCGAGCACTGCGATTCTCCATGGTAGAATCCGCAAGGATACAAAGTCTAAAGCTGTTCGATAAACACCTTGTCTCCTTATCCTTTCTTTTCGTTATCTAATTTCTGTTTCGACAGAATACAAAATTGACGATTATCATCGATCGCTTAGACTCCGCATCCTTGCTGTTTATTCTCGTCATCAGGATCCAGAGATGGGCAAAATTTTCACCTAAATACAACGTTTCGAGTAACGAATAAAAAACGAACGAAATAAGTATAAGACGATCTTAATCGTCAGCTATCGTTCGAATGAAATTCTGCTCATCTCTTCTGGGATAGCTCGATCTTTCCTCGATTCTCTCACCGCGCGACGCTATTCCTCGTCCAATCGAAACTTTACCCCGCCTTCGAATCCGTGCGGATCCCAAGGAAAGTGCAGCGTAACGTTGTAGATACTTTCATCGGATAAGGCTGCGTTAATTATTGTCTTTTTTTTTTTTTTTTTATCGCTCGTGCTCCTCGATAGATTTACCCCGCACCTCTTTCACCTTCTTCCATTTTCCAATTTCGCCGCCGACTTTTCTTTAATATATTTTTTTGTGCTCTCTTCGCTGGTCGATCCTTTCGAAAGGTAAGTATCCCTTTGCCTTCGATTACGCGGAATGCATACTTGCCCTTTCCTTCGATTAAATACTGCTACGATCCAACTGGACGACAATCGTTAACTTCGTTCGCGATATAGTCTCTCTAATTGTCCCATCGGATTGTGAAAGGAAAAAGAAGGAACAGGGAGATGGAATAAAAAGTACTCCGTAAGAAGCAACGCGCGAGCGAATGACGAGAGACGAGTCAACTAGAAGCATAACCCTACGTCCTAATTGATCGTCGCGCGGCGACAAAATCGCTCGTAGCTGAGTCGCGCCTAGAGTCGGGGCAAGGTGTAGGTTCTATTCGCGCTAACTTCTCGAGATGCTTTTGTCGCTTAATACAGTCCGTCAATCGGTCGAACAATCTATATCGAACAGGTCGAACATTGCATTCAATCATGCGATGTATGATTAAATCTATAACACAACTTAGGCACACATATTTATCCGTGCAACACATGCACATTTACCCGAAACCACTTTATTCCGATAACGTTTTGTTTTGTTTTGTTGCGCAAACGAGCAACAAGATTCAAGCAGGTTTGAATTTTGTCTTGCCCATACAAATCGGCACGCTGTGTCGAAGTCATCGTCATTTTTTTTAATGGAATCACGGGATTTTTTTATGCCATATTATGAAAACTGGCGTTAAGACGAATTCGTCGACCTGTAATACTTGGTCGTTTGTTTTAATATAAAGCCTTAAATTGGAGTTTGAATTCAGTAGATTTAACGCAGTCTGCCAATCGATCGAACAAGGATAGAAGAAGGAGAGAAGGACAAAAGAAGATGCTCTGACGGACTGTATTAAATGCAATCGACAAAAGCATTTTGAGAAGTTAGAACCTAGACGTTGCCTCCACTCTCACCGCGGCTCAGTTACGAGCGATTTCGTCGTCGCGCGACAGTCAATTAGGACGAGGTCTAAGAAGCCAGCTAGTTAAATCGATGTTCGTCGATCCCTGAGGATCATCTCGAGTTCGACGGAATACTGGCAAAGGCAATCAAATTTCTCGATGCGACGTAACTTTCTTCGTGAAAAGGCAAACATTCTCGCCTCGTTCAAACGAATAGCGAGTTGAAAATGTTCGGAAGTACGAAAACGACAAGACCGTGAAGAATCAATTTGTATCGTGCTTTCGTCGAGCTGTTCGCGGAACTACGAGCACATGATCGATAAGTAAATTCACGGATGACAAAATAATTTTAAATACTTTCAGAGACAGATATGAGCCGTCCAAGGCTAGAAACTAAAATATCTCCGTTGCTTTTATGTAACAAAACTTGAAGGAGAAAAATATTCGAAAAATATTTCGAAAAATACTGACCAATATTTCCAATCTAACTCGTTACAAAATTTTACGGCCATCGATGCTTTTTTTTCAACGGGATGACACATTTTTGTTATCAGAGGTAAACGCGAGAATTAGGTCGAACGAGGTTCATGGTAGGCCTAAGTAAATGTTCACGTGTATTCGTTCGTTTCTCAGATTTTCGATTTAGGCCTGGTGTTGGACGAGCGTTTCTTCAGCTTCTAAACATTTTGTTGAATATAGAGTACATTTGTATTTATAATATAAAGTGCTGTTACTTAGTTTGTATGTTCCGGGAGAGGAGACTCGTGTATGCACGTGTTGGTTGCCCGTGAGCCATGGTGGCACGTGGTTTGACTGATCACTATCTATATAAATTTTGTATTAACTAAATATATTATATTACTTTTGAGAACGAAACGAGTGACTGTTTACTTGGCAATTCATCCATGTTTAACATGGTAGAAGAGCGTGGTTGCGTAGTTCGTTCGTTAAATGGTAGATGCATGTGGATCGAGAATATTTAGAGATTGAGCACATGTTTGGTAAATGGAAAATGAATTTGAAAAATATAGTAAGAGCCAAGACATTAAGCTAAGCGAAGAAATCAAATGAAACTTAAGATATCAAATGAAACTTTGATTTTGAAAACTGAAATTTACAATAGAATTAGAATAAAAGAAATAGAAGAAATGGCTAGGCTAGCAAAAATCGATGATATAAGTATTCCAGTGTTTGATGGAATAAATTTTGCAAGTTGGAAATTTAGACTCATGAATATCCTGGAATATAAAGATTGCCAAGAACCTGCTAAAAAAAGGACTGCTACCGGCAATGAAGATGTTTGGAAAAAATGTGATCTAAAGGCTAAAACAATTTTAATTAGTGCCACGTCAGATAAGCAGTTAGAATACATTAGTGAATGTAAAACAACTTTTGAAATGATGTCAAAGTTAGAAAAAATGTATACACCCAAATCAACGTCCCTGCAAATAATAAACAGAGGAAAATTATAACATACACTCCCGGAACATACAAACTAGGTGGCAGCACTTGATATTATAAATACAAATGTACCCTACATCCAACACATTTGTTAAAAGGAACGGAGATATTTTAGATTTCAGCTTTAGCCATTTCACCCCGTTTATATTTTGTAAGAATATTGGTCAAGCTTTGATTTAGCCAACGAACGTCTGTGCATTCGACGATCGTGTCAAGCTTTAGCCTCCCCGCAGACTGCAGACTGTCGGTCGACAGTTTGATCAAGTTAAAGGAGGGCGCCAAGGCTAAAACTAGCTACCAGTAGTTACCGAGACAAAATTTTGAAACTTTTATATAGTTTTTAACGCTGAATTCAATGGTGGAAACAAAAAAATGTTTAAACAATTTTTTTGGATTTAAATAAAAAAATTTTGAAAAAGAAGTAGAATCGAAAACTCCATACGCTTGTTTATTCGTTAATTTTTAAGGAGTATTTAAACAAATTTTTAATCACGCGAATGGATCCAGACATATCTATCCCCTGAGACACAGCGTCACGTGCGCGATCCGCGGCTCGGACGTTGAGCCTGGAGCGGTAGTGGGGGTACAGTAGGCGGTGCCTGAAGCCGGCGACTGACTCGCAACAGAACGCTGTAATGTAACTGCTCGGCACGAATTTTACGGTTCGACACCAACGTTACGTTACAAGGTCCTTTTTGGAATCACGAATGCTCGCTTCGAACTCTCGGCTGAATTCTCTCTCAATGCTTCCTACTTAGGTCAGTGAAAAGTAGACGATCGAAGAGGTTCGTCAAAAAACCGACAAACCAGTGAAGCTCGCTAGTCCGCCAAACTTAGCGAATGCTCGCGTTACATTACAATGTTCTGTTGGAAGTCAGTCGCCGGCTTTAGGAATCGGCTCGAAACGTGCAATTCTGATCATTGGTGTGCCCATCAAACTGATTTATCGGCCGATACACCCTCATGCTGATTAAGAACCCGATCAAACTATTAGGAGATAGAGAGTCTGCAGTCTGCGGGGGCTCTTACTCGTTAACTCCGACAAACTATACACTAGGCTAGAGAAACGCATCGAACTGAACGCGTATTTGCACCACGATATTTGGAGCGGTGAAATCGATAAAGGCTACAATCTATGTATTATATATACACTCGCATAATTCTCATCGAAAAATACATAACGGCTGCTAGATCTACAAAAAAGTTGACACTTATCGCCATTGATTCATCCGCGCAACACTACCGTAAAACTTAAGTAGAGCGTAGACGAGACGGTAACAAATTTCAATGGAGTAACACGCAGCATAATTAACACTTTAACGACCGTTAGCCTATTAATAGGCTTTTAATTAGGACAGCCAATACTTTGTTATGTATTATTCACGTAACATTTAATGCTTCCATCATGATACGAATTATAAAATATTATGTAGATATTAATCGCGAAACTATTCTAATGGATAAAATTAAGATGAAATAATATTAACGTTGTCGAAATAAAAAATATTATCATAATTCGTTCGTGTTATACAAGTTACTACAATTGTACCAAATAATCATACTGTACAAATAATGCCGTGTATTCATAATTTTTCAACAAATAAAGAAAACAAAATTATTGTCAGTATAAAAAATATTATTGAATTTAATTATATATCCAATCGCTACCGGTCGGTAAAGTGTTGAGATAACGAAAACTGCAAACATTGTACGATCAAGAGCATTAAAGCACGAATCCGTTACCGAAATTACATTAATCCCTTCGTGTCCACCCTATCTATTTTAATACACATCAGCTTTGACAATTTATATTGCTATCGCGATATCAACTATGTACCCCTCCCCTTTTATGGATTATTTCGTAATCGTCTGAAATAGGTGCTGGATTTAGCAGGTATTATATTATAATTGGTGCATTACTTTTAATTGTGTCCGGTGCAATTTCTTGACGATACATTACCTATACATTTTTAATCGCAATTTTTAAGATCTCGTTATATTTACCACGTAAAAAGACTGATGTGCATTAAGAAGTAACTGAACATTCGCTTCATCTAGATCCAGGCGCAAAGCTGTTAACCATGCCTGTAAACGACTAAAGTCGCGTACATAGGATCCCACTTACTTACACGATTTATAGATCGCGAAGCCAAAACGGTTTCGGACAGGAATTCGAAGAAAAGCACGATGAACCGGTTCGATCGATCGATCGATCGGTCTATCTTTATCTTTATCTTTACCGACTCTAAACTGCTTACTATTTAACGACCGGTTGTCTTAATACTGATAAATGTATTGTCCGTTGAAGTGACTCGAAAAGCATGCAAACACGCTAACAGATAAATTCTCGCGATTTAATCCTACGGGCTTTCTTTCTCTCGGTGTTTCGTTTATTTTTTATTTTTTGCTTTTTTTCGGAAGAAGGCTCGACCGATATAATATATACAAACTAGGAGCAGAAGAAAACGGTAACATTTACAACAGCGCCGATACGACGTACGACTCTCTATCGCGACGGCAGCGTGTTAACGGAGGACGCGATTTTGCTGGAAGTGTAAACGCGACGTGGAAAAATCGCGTCGCTCGAGTCTTTGTTCGGGCAAGTTTTGAAAGATTCGAGCCCTTCTCTGTACGCTAAAGTCGTACGAGAATCACCACGAGAGACATAGACGTTTCATGCCGTACGTATAAGTATGCTCAATTCCGGGGCAAAGTGGAACACGTGCCCACTTCTCTATCTCGTCCGCGCATGGCTTTTCTTCCCTCGTTTATTCTCGCAATGAGAGGGTCGCTAGCGCCAGACGTCACCTTCGATAAAATTACTACGACACGGTGCGATTATACCAACGTAGCAACTTTATTAAAATCAGCGTCAGCTACTGCTAACCCTCCCCTTGTTAGTTTCGATTCAAGTGAAAATTAGAAGAGGGGAAGGGAAAGGGGTTTGGGAGGAGCAGACGGCAAGAAGAAGAAGAAGAAGAAGAAGAAGAAGAAGTTGTAGTAGAAGAAGGACGATGCTCGAGCGTTGTTGAGACGGAGTTCGCGAACGATTCTCCATCGAGCTACATCTTACGCGATGCAACGCGAAAATTCGGTGTGCTTTGCTCGCACCGTCGACGATCGCTTTCGTTCGAACGAATAACGACCCTTGTTCCGTATCGCGTGCGATTAAAACGAGCTAAAGCATACCGGAGGGTTCATTTCGCCGAAGACGTTCAGCTCGTAGAGCGAAGCAAACACGATGAACACCAGGTACCAGAGCATCAATACCACTCCGTATCGTCGGTCCAGTTTCCAGCCGTTCAAGTGGGTCGCTAGTACCAGAAACACCACCGTCGACAGCAGAGACACCGTTGAATACGTTAAGCCTGTGCATCGTAATAACAAGAAAGAGAGAAAGAGACAGACAGAGAGTCAGACGAAAAACAAAGGGGAAGGAAAGAGTAAGAGTCTTGTTCAAACATGGACAAAATTCTTATCTTTCTGGTCGAATAAAAATTTCAAATTGTTATAGAACGAAATTTTTCGTATCTTTGGCATCGTCGCGCTTCAATTCGTTAACTCGCTGACTTTTGCTGGAATTACAGAGGATGCGAAGCGAAACGAAGGACGGTGCGGTCGAGGTGGAACGATACGCGCTGGCTCTTCGTCAACTTACCTCGACTGGTGACGTTCACGTGCGAGCCGGGCTGTATCATAGCCGTTTGTATGAACCATGGAAGCCCAAGGCAAACTAGGATATCGAAAACGTTACTCCCGACGGCGTTGCTCACCGCCATGTCACCCAAGCCTTCCTTGATCACTGCCAACGAGGAGAGCGCGTCAGGTACGCTGACGCCAGCAGCGACGAAGGTCAAGCCCATCACCGTGTCGGGTATACCGAGAGTGCTGCCTGTTGAACCAATCGTCAACGTTGCAATTTATATTTTCATGTCTTTACTACGCGTATACACGATAAAAAAAATTGCAACGCTACTGCGAAGCATAGCGATTAACTCACCTATAATCGTGATCATCCACACCATAATGTAACTGTAGAAACTAATCCACACCATCGACACGCAAAAGGTGAAAGGGTACCAGTTTCGATATTTCTCTTGCCGACAGTCAGGCATTGTAGCGCGACACATGAAATGAATCGGATATACGAGTCCCCAGGTAAACAAGGTCCATTTGCTGCCGTCGACAGGCTTTTCTAGCGGCGACACTTCATTGGGATCGGGCTCTTTCGCTTTGTAGTATTCGGGCTGTCTAGGAGGTGGCGGTTCGTTCGTTTCTGGAACAGGGCCTCCACCTACTCCGCCTGCTATCAAGTAAACGTTGTTTATTTCGTATGTTCCAGACCAAAAACATCCTCGACCCAAAAACTGTCATCGTCGATTACCTTCTTGAGTTTTAACTTGGTCGGTGACAGGCGAATTAGGGCCCGTGTAAGACAATCGATCCTCCTGCAACGATCTGTAGCTGACGAGAGCGCTTTCCTCCGCTGGTTCGTCGTCTTTCGGTAAGAAAGGTATGTTGTAGGATTTTGCCCAACGTTCCAGTCTAGCGTTAAAAGCTAACGCGACGCAATACACGCCGTACATGATTAACATAAACAGAGACTCCATCCTGAAAGCAAATGTCATCTCTCGTAAAAAGAGTCGAGTCCGTGGTTATTAGGGTAAACTAACCATCTTACCAAGATATCGATTCGTTGTAAATTGTACCGAGCATCACGAGTATCGACACGGCATAGAAAAAGCAATCCCGACACAGAGGCCACCAGTTCAATTTGGACACCGTCGAGGTGCAAAGACCGCAAACTGATATCACAAACATTATATTGAATACCGCGCTACCGATCACGCCACTCACCTGTAATCGTAATAGTGCAAGTTACAATCACCAAGTAATAAGTTAAACTTTATTCTCTTCATGCACGAGCGCACGCTTATTATTCAAAGTTTACCAATCTGAACGGTACAGTAAACACTGGATAAGTGTAAAAAAAATCGGGACCCAGCGCCAGCTTTAGCAATATTGGCGCTCCGGGCAAGATTACCGTGGCGGAGGGTAAATTTTTTAAGAAAAGAAGACAAGGTAATAATATAAAACGACGAATGTGTAGTCAAATTGTAAAAATGGTTAAACAATGAAAGAATATCGGTATATTCGCATACTAGGGGCATCGGAACTGCGGCGCTTGCACTTATCCAGTCTTTACTGAGTTTAGTAATTTAAACGGTAATTTAGTACTTGTATCGCATAGGTGAATCACGTTTGCTTACTCCGATATCATCTTTTGCGAAGAAAACACCGATGACAACAGTCGCCAACTCTGGTGCTGAAGAACCGGCAGCCATAAACGTTGCCCCAGCGACATCCGGCGACAGTCGTAGTTCTACGTACGAAAAGGAACGTTTCATGTTTCTTTGTTGACTAATCGTACACCAGATATAGTATATCAAAGGAATCTTACCTTCGCAAATCCTGTCCAAGCTAGAGACAAAGTAATCGTCGCAGACAATTGCTAGGCCCAGGAACGTATAAACAGCGACCAAAATGTGTATGATGAGTCCGCCATGTTTTCTAGCATTTGGTCCCATTACAGGCCTTGGAAACTGTTCGATGGCCGGTGGTGAACAATTCTCTCTCCGCGGTCTCCAAGTTGCGCGCTCGTACGTGTACCTCACTGTCGTTATCGTTGGGACCTATGTATCAGAAATGCATTTTTCATGCGCAAGCCAACTTTTTAATAAGTATTTTTATTAATTTATTTCAAGCTCGCTACATTTTTTATCTTATTCAGGCATTTTACCTTATTTAAGACAATGCTCGGAATTACTTGTACATTTCGGGCAGATTCCTAGGCACCGCCTACTGTACCCCCACTACCGCGTCATGTGCGCGATCCGCGACTCGGCTGTCGAGCCTAGAGCGGTAGTGGGGGTACAGTAGGCGGTGCCTCAAGAATCTGCCCGAAATGCACAAGCAATTCCAAGCACTGATTTAAGGATAAAGAAGAATCTGTCGCGTCTCACCGTTGTGGTTCTTGGGGCACTCTTCGTGACAACGGTAACCACTTCTTTTTTGGGGACGTTCCCTTTCCCCGGTGACTCCTCCTTGGATTGATCGCGTATTTTCGTCGGCTTTTCGTCCGGTGATTTTTGTTCCTTTTTGTTCTCCCCCTCGTTGGCGCTCGTCGATTCATTTTTCTCAGTCTTCTTTCGCACGGGGGTAACCGTTTTCAGTTCCACCTTCGGTTCCTCGACTTCCGCATCCATCGATAACGTGGCAGATTCTAAGGTACTCTCTACGGTCCAGCTTTCCTCGGTGCTCGTCTCTTCCGTTGGCAGTTTCGCGGACATAACGTACTGAACGAGTATGTAGACAAGGAGAAAACCAAACCGCAGAGGCCATCTTTTACGCCGCGAGTTACTCAATTGGACCTTCATCATTCTCGACTAAAACAAATTCAAGTAGCATAAATTAGTATTGCGAGAAACGCGTTTCGTTACGACTACAACTCCACGACTACTTGTTAAAGTTCTTCCACGCATTACCACGCGCTGCGAACAGTTTCACCTGCTTTACATACTTTTATCGATGAGACAAATAATTTCGTCGCAGTTGCGCATGTTTCGTTAATATTTATTAATGAAGGCATTCGGTGCCTGTACGTTGTGTACGTGTTGCGTTTCAATGCCAAACGGTTTTGTATGGAGTATAATATAAGAATAATCGAAATGTTTTCGTTTGGACGTACGCTCATCGTCACAGTGATAGCCCAGGTGTGCTATCTTTAGTTTCTCAATGACGCGTGTAAAATTTTTCGTCTGTAACGTGTAATATCGAAACATTACGAGCTCGGAATATGCGGTTCGCTGGAAATAAGTCAATGTCGTAGATGTTTGTATACAAATGATAACACTCTGTTAATATGTTTGCTGGGCAACTTGCGTCGTATACGCGAACGGAAAACAGTATCAACACGTACAAGAATCAATGCAATTGTACGCCAATGGGATAGGATCAATTTCCCAAAAAACTTTTGTGCGAAATTGTAGTTTATTCGCTTCTTTTTTTATAATCAATGATATTTTACATATTCTCGGAAGTCTCTAAGATAGATATAGTTCAAACAACATGTACTAGTTAATACAATTTGTAAAATTACCAAAAAAATGCGAAAAGTGGGTAAAAGTATAGAAGCAAGAAGTATCTATACGATTCTTACGACGAACCATTTACAGTAGAATTTGTAACGTAAACACATTAGTTTATTGCTCCGTACCAATTTAGAAAACATCATATTTCCAGCAAAGTACTTTTGAACAGTTGTGCGAATATTTATTGGTTCAACATTTCTATCGATTAATTGTTTATTTTCTTGTTAATTTCGCAACTTACGTAAATAGTTATTTTTTTTTTTTTTGTAATCTAGAGACTTCCGAGAATATGTAGAATGTGATTGTTTATAAAAAATAAGTTAATAAATTACAATTTTACACAGTTTTTTTGGAAATCGATTGGTGTACGAATACTTTCTACACCCACTGTATATAAATCGATCCAAACCGTACAATAGAAATAATAGAAAATAAAGGTTATTGTTAGTTAACATTTATATTGATTATTATTTTCTTATTGTACACGTGCTATCATTACAATAGTTTTTGTTGCGCACTAAACCTTAGACCCTAAACCCTACTTTACATTATTTTCAACGAACCGTATATTCTGAGCTCATAATGTTTTGATATTACACGTCACAAACATAAAACTTTACGTTAGTTATTGATAACACACTTCTGCTATCTTTTTGAAGAGGAGTGTACTAACTCGCGTCGAGCATAATAAACATGTATACACATACGCGTATCGCGTACACGCACGTCCAACGTCACACATTAGAATATATTTATATAAATACAAATTTTCGCAAATAAATCGCTTATACGTTGGTTTTATTCATTTCGTACGCGTCTTCTTACGTGCATGGCATCTTCTTACAGCACGGTTGTATTAAACGTTCTTTCGACCTAGTACGGAAAAACTTGGCGACGTACTTGAACGCTATCGAAGAAACTAAAGAAAAAACGAAGACAAGTACAATATCGTTTGTTGCAATTAGTGCGTGGGGGAGTAAAAGCGTGTGACAATCAAGGTGGCAGCGAAAGTGACCTAGTTCGGCATATTTCTAGCGATCGTTAAACGATACGAATCAACGTACCGGAACTCACAGACCGGCTTACCTCTTTCGCGGAAGCGTTGCGAATCGTTCGCCAATAGATTCGATGTCATGCACCTTTATCACGCCTATTGACGTACTTACATACCTAGGCGATGCTCGAACGATAACCAAAACCAACCAACTAGCTGGCGAACGATCCGCGGACGTCTTTGCAATTTACATCCGATCACGGATGTTCGGATAGCCATCGAAGAAACGGGCCGTCGCGATCGCAACCGTTCAACGACACGACCGGATACTTTTAAGTCAAGCAACGATGACAAATTTTATCATCGCGTCACACTCGAATTATTGATTTGCACAATAGCTGCGGGTCACCACGATGCGTTCTCGGCGTGTTCACGCGACATGTAAGCGTCAATTTTCTTGGTTACGTGAGTGTGCTTCCAAAACCACCCTCGAGTTAACGCGGAGTCTGCTTTCGCTCTAACTCACCGTCGACATCACGGCCATTCTTGAGCCGCCGATATTTCAACTCGGCAAAATCCTCAGTCGTTCGTGCCACGCTCTCGCATCCCTTGTTTCTCGCCGCTCTCTTCTTCCTCTCGCCCTCACCCGTTCAGTTTCTTCTTCCTTCCTATCTTGGATCTTCGCTCCGATCAGGATGTACTCCTCGGATGTGTACCGCGCGCGATAGTCTTAGTTTCAACGATCCCTACCGGTGTACAGTGTATACTCTTCTCCTACAAACCGATACAGCTTTTATCGTTCGCTACTGGACTACGAGCGTCGTTCTGTCGTTCGCCACCCTTACGTGCTGCTCGCGAATGAAGCTTCTCCTAGCCTCTTCGTGCCACCCTCTATCCGCCCCCGCCTTCTCACCCGTCTCTGTACGCCACACCACCCTCGAATCTATCACGTGAACACGCGTGCGCGTCGCAATTACAACGTCGCGGAAACGATACGTAAACTTTGCTAATCTCGGAAAGAAACGCACAAGTACGCGACATGCCTCGGATGGCTGACATCGATAACAGAGAAGAATGTCTCTAAGAGTTACATTTGCCAGTTTAAATGATACCACGCAGATGTAGTAGATCGCTATGCTACAGGTAGCGTGAATATACACATACGTGTACACAGAACATAGTTTCTTTTTGACATAGCATGTTTACTACAAATATATGTACAGTACATTAACCTTGGAATAGTATACTACTTCGTAAATCCATCCACGCTTTCCGAAGTTTTCGTAAATACGTATATTTCAATATTTGCTTTAAATATTTAACGTTATAACGTTTATATCTTTATTATAATAAGAAGCACATCGTTCCAGCAGAATTTACAGAAGTATTTATAAATATTCTGCAACTTGTACAAAGTTCAAACTTGTGGAACATACACCGATTAACATATTAATGTATTAACTAGGATTTTGGTGAAACTTAACGGAATAACTGCTACTGTCTGGATCTTTTTGCAACTGAAAATTATTTGTAGAAAGCCCGAAAGGTTTTAGCACCATATTTCCTAGATCCTTAAGCTTTCCAAACATTTCTTCCTTTAATTTCTCGTTCCTTTCATGAATTAACGGAGGTAATCTCTAAAAATTATTAAAAATTAATATAACGGTATCGCGAATATTTCGTAGAGGTGGAACCAATATTTGTATATTTACCCGAACCGCGTAATTTGCTTCTGTATGACTAGAATCGTACGTAAGAACCTTCTTGAAATCTTCCAAAGCTTCGTCTAGCTTATCCGTTTCTTCGTACAACTGTGCTCTCCTAACGAGTGCTTTCAAATAACTGGGATTTAATTCTATGGCTTTTGTACAATCGGATATCGCGGATTCTTTATCCTACGGACAAGTACCATACGAGTATAATGTAAACGATATAATCCTTATAAAACTAACATTTTTATTAAAAATTATGAGTCAAAGGTATTACCAAAGATTTTGACTTTGCCGCAGCTCTATTTGCGTATAAAATAGATCTTTCTTTACTGTAACCTAACGGACAAATTTGTATCCCCTGTGTGTAAATTGATATTGCCTGTATATATTCTCCATTTTTAAAAAGATTGTTACCCTCGTTTTTTAATTTCTCCGCTTCGTCTCTGAATGTCTGGAAAAAGTGAAACATTAGCGGCATGTAGGTTATAATTTATATAATGCAACAAATAAATATCTAACAAACTTCTTTTTCACTTTCAGAGAGTGTAAGTTCTCTGTCTTTTAATAATTCTTCATCCACGAAATCTCTTGGAAAATCCGTCGTGTGCGTATCTTGTATTTTACATTTAGTATCATTGTCGCTATTCTCTCCCACTTGTTCGCAAAAATCGTCCGGCAAGTTGCTCCGTTTTACATTCGATTTCGCATTGTTGTCATTCGATAGAGAGGTTTCATCTGCACTTCTACAAGAACTTTCTAGATCTCTCGTGAGCTCCTCTATGATCTCTTCGTTGGTTTTTAAACCAACTTTAGATGTACTGTCCATCGCAGTGTTTCTCACTTCGATGATTTTACTTTTTTTCTCGATATACGCGATCAGCCAAATAATGAGGTTAACCGTAGTAACGCATACTCGTTATATTAAACCATATCAAACAATCGAGCAAATTTATTTGTCAACTATGACGATGTGATTGCAGTTTACGTTGACATTTACCTGTGATTCGTACACTTGGCATCAGAGTGCGTCTTCTACTTTCATCTTCGACCATACATACATGGACTGCTCAAGCTATAGTGTAGTCCGTGACCAACATCTCCCATGCCGAAATTACGAGTAAGCAGTTGTGCGCAAGCGCCACAGTCAATGGGCGATAGCAGTGGGAAAAGGCGCGAATTGAAATTTTGAACGGTTGTCGAACTACTCTTCGACCATTGGTCGAAGCTGCAGTCAGCCTGTCATCGAGATGGAATTTTTGCTATAGTTCTCGAATTCAACGCATGCGCATTAGCGTCATGTCTCACTTTTGGTATGAAGATGTTGGTTACGCTCTGCTCAGTGTATAAAGAGTAGGCTTGAGCAGTCCATGTATATATGGCAGAGATGGGCAAAACTCTAGACTTCGAATAAATCTGAAATTTGCCGATATGTTTGTCTCGTTTCCTCTTTTGAACATTTTCCAAAGAAGGAAACGAGACAAACACATCGGCAAACTTCAGATTTATTCGAAGTCTAGGGTTCTGCCCATCATTGATATATGGTCGAAGACTTCTATCCTAAGAAGGGCTATGGGTTATACCGCTCACTAAGCCGCTCTGTGAGCGGCTGATTTAGAACTAGTGGCGCCATTGGTGGCGAAACGTCCAAGTTTGTAGTGAAAATAGTTCCTACTGTTTCTGTAAGATGGCACAACCGATATCTTTTAGTCAGTTATTCTTTATTTTCCATAAATGCATAATTAATACGACTCGTTACTTCATAATACTATAATGTATTAGTTAATATGTAAAATTTGTCATTTTAATGAATAAATAATAGTTATCGACCGTTTAGTTAGTGGCGCCATCGGTGGCGAAACGCCCAAGTTTGTAGTGAAAATAGTACCCACTGTTGCCGCTAGATGGCGCCACTAACTCAAAAGGATCGATATTTATTGCTGCATTTATAATAATAATGCTTAAATAATATTTTGAAATAATATATTGTAGCGTTATAACGCAAATAATCGTATTAATTATGTATTTATGAAGAATAAAGAATAATTAATTAAAATGTCTTGGTAGCGTTATCTAGTGAAAATAGCGGGAACTATTTTCACTACAAACTTGAACGTTTTCCCACCGATGGCGCTACTGGTATTATAACCGTTTCAGTATAATTTATATAGCTTTTGGATGCTGCCAATCAACTGCATTTTCTTGAAATTCAAAATAATCAAAATACATTTACATTTACATTTGTTAGTCACTAAGAAATTTACTTTTGTAAACTATAATCTTTATCGCGTTATAAGTATTGCATTGTTTACATCGTGTATCGAAAATTTGTAAAGATAGAAATTTGTATACAACTCATTTTTGTGATATCATTTGTATCATTCCATGGTGCACTACACGAAAAAATATTCACTTGAATAGCATTTGCTAAGTATCAATACTAACAAAAACATTTTGTGTATCGGTGATGTAAGATTTGATGTATGTACATAGCTTTTAAACACTTTGGTATCCCACAGTGAACAGTTGTTATGTATTAAAAAAGCGTTTGTTACTTGTCGTTGATAGCACCATTATTACAAATGATACAAATTCGGTGTCTAACTAACCTCTGTTCCATTTAGAGTAATGTCATCTGTGTCCACTGATGACTATGTCTACTAAATTTTGTTATAAGATATTGAACACAGTCGTGCAATCTGCTTGTCTGATACATTGTATTAACGAATATGTAGGAAATATTGTAGTGGTAAGAAATTCACACAATATCTATAGATTACTTTAACACTTTTGGAAAATGACAAACCAAAAGTTTGTATAAGATTTACTTGAATTATTCTAATTGGATGCGTGTTATTCATTTTATTGGTTCTTTTACATAGTGTGCTGGTCCGTCCATGGAACCAACATTGTACAGTAACGATGTATTAATCACAGAGCGTGTATCTGTGAGACTACAAAAATTGAAAAAAGGTGACATAATTATCTCTAAGTGTCCCTCTAATCCAAAACAACACATATGCAAGAGGGTTGTAGGGTTACCAGGAGATAAAGTACGACATGGAGTCATAGTATGTAGAATTAATCTTAAAAGTTAAAAGTAGCACATGCTATTCTAACTTTGGACATAAAACTATTGCAATTATATGAACCAAGAATATAATATTTTAGGTTCCAAACGGACACGTTTGGTTGGAAGGTGATAATAGGAATAACTCTACCGATTCTCGTGTGTATGGACCTGTTCCACAGGGTTTATTACAAGGACGTGCATTGTGCAAAGTATTACCATTAAGAGATATTACTTATTTAGCTTAATAAATATATTATTTATATCATTTATAATTTTATTTACAATTAACCTGGTCAGATATATTATTTTTGTGATGCCCATAGGTAAAGTATGATAATAAAAATCTGTTTCAAGATATAAGACTTCTAAAATATTTAAACATTTGTTCTTCCCTATAAAACTTTTACAATATGTTATTTTGCATGTGCCAAACTTAAATCATGATTCACGATCGTTGGAATTGAGAATTACGAAATGACTATGTTCTATAAATATACACGTTTGATTACTTCTGTTTCTATTGTATGTGAAAAAAATGATTATCGTAATGTTTACAACTTTTCTATTGCAAATATTTGTTTACTTATTATTTCTATGATTACACGTATGACTAAGAAATACATCCCGTGAAGGTAATTTGTTTGTAGCCGCGGTATAAACAACGACAATAACATGTTTACATGCACAAATGTAGACACATAGGTAACACAATTTGTATTCTTTTCAAAGCATTGAACCACGGGACTGTTAAATTCGTATATACCTAGCAACGATCTTCGTTGGTCCGATAGCATCGTATGATTTTGTTTACAAACTAAGCCCTCCTAAATGCGTTGGAAGCTCTCGTTTATATAAGTAGAATCCAACGCTGTGAACTCAGTTTAAAATCAGTGCGGTAACAAATAACCTACTTACTATATTCGACTGTTTAAAGAATTACAAGACGGTTATAATTAACATTGAACGAAGAAAATTATGTTCGCATTGTCGAAATATTTCGTCTAAAATCGTTTCTATGCTAAAAATTTAGTGTACGTATACATTTTAAAACGCGTAGGAAGCTTTATTCAATTATCTACATATTACCTGATAACGGATATTCAATACGCTAAAAGTATCAGTGTTCAAAATCTTATTCCACTTTTCCTCGTATCGAAAAACTAAAGGGCTGAAGGAATGACACGGAGTACAAACATAAGACATTATCGAAGATTTATCCTTCTTATAAGGTACGTTAGATTTTATAGTTGTTATTGTGTTTCTAATAAAGAATAAGCAGTTAATTTTGTTTAATACGCGTAATTTCGTATACTTAGCTACAATACAAATGTACAAATATTTTGATTTTATTGATATTTCGATTAATACGTTGCCTATGGAAGAATGAAAAATGATGCAATTTTCTTTTACTATAATGTCTATTATTCATTCTCATCGCATTTTACAGTATACTCACACATTTTAACAAACTGATGATTTAAATTTACATTCTTGTCATCGCTCGTCATTGCTCCCCTCCTTGTACCAAATTGTTGCACACGTACGTGTACATATGTATAATATGTATACATTTGTACCTAAAATCTAAATGTGCATAAATGTGTATAGACAGAAATTAGGCTCATATCCAAAGTAATAATAGTCAGAACGTCGTGCGTCGTGAAAAATCGTTGTTAAATTAAGGAATTTTTAAAACGTTTCTCGACGTTTCGCGCATCAACTGATTTTGACAGGTTCGCGTTACGAACAATAACTTTCTTGAGTCTGTATTTATATTAAACATACTAATGTTACAATTTTAAATTAGAAACTCGCGATTTGTCAAGAAATACATTATCACAATAACGAACACATTTGCATAGGTAATATTTTTCAATTACAGACAATTGACAAATAGTGCGGCAGATAAAAACAGTGGTGAAAACATTAATAAAAATAAATTGTTTGGCCAATTAAATGTTTTATGGAAAACAAAAATGTCGATGCAGAATTATTCAAAACTTGTAGCACAACTAAAAGATTACTTACACAAATCTGGTTATGATAGAAATCTACAAGTTGTTCTATCCAAAGATTGGATAGACTTTTTACAAAAATTAACATACACGCAAATTAATGTTTTCAAGAAGTTATCGCCTATCGAGTTTACAAAGAGTACAAGCAATAGTAAATTATCACATGTGGATAAATGTGACACAAATACGCAAGTGAAAAGTAACAAAAGTTTGTTAGAGACTCATCAAGGAGAGACATTTAGGGAACAAAAGGCACATCAGGTTTGTTAAATATGAATGATACGAAAGAATGTTATAGGCAAGAATCTGATTTTTCGTTTTTTTTTTTATCATTTTTACAGCCAATTTATGATGCAACTGTAAGCGAACCAAAAGTGCAAATCAAAGAACCGTCTAGTCTATCGCAAATACTTGGTAGTTTAATTGTTAAATTAACCAGTAAAAGTAGTACAGCTACCTTAGTCATTCCACCAAAATGGAAAGTAAATATTCATAAAGATATACCAAAGCACAGTATTCAATCACGAACACGCCATGTTTTAAATAGTATTACAACTGCTGAATCGAGTACCTCAAGGTGGAGGAGAATTGAAGATTTATTGACTCACATAGATCAATATCCGGAAGCTAGGCATTATGCGATTAAAGAGGGTGCAATTAGAATATTGCTCAAAATAAAACGGAAAACTAAAAATGAAGAAATAAATGGTACAAAGTAGTTCACAAATATTAGATTTTTTAGTAAATATTAATAACGCTAATGCATAAATGTTTGCAGCATCCATAAGAGAAGCACTAGCAGTATTGGGTTATGTTGATCCATTGCCTGGCAGAGGAATCAGAATTCTTTCTATCGATGGAGGTGGTGTACGTGGAGTATTAGTTGTAGAAATGTTGAAAAAGCTCGAAGAACTGACAGGGAAAAAAACACATGAAATGTTTGATTATATATGTGGTGTGAGCACAGGAGCTATTCTTGCTGCTACTTTAGGTATCTAAGCGTTATAGTTTTTCCTTAATTATTCATTAAATGCTTTCTTAATTAATAATTGCTCCATTCCAATTTAACAAAATTAAAACATCTAACAATGTCTATAAGTGTGTAATCATAGTTTTGTGTTCAGTTATTCCGAAAGATTCTAACACAGGTAAGAATTATCTATATCTCTATAGCATATTTAATTTCTTATTTAGAACCCCTAGTTTCACATGCTTAACAAAACTAAATTTTATTACAGTGCTTAATAGAATCCCTATATAATTTTAAGTTAGGTTTCAGTAATTAATGCTAAAATTAAAACTCTTGTATAAGAATGAAAGCAAATGTTATTGATCGAGTATAAATTTCTGTATAACCAAAATTTTTGTAGGTGGACATAAACGGAAATCGTTACATGAAATATCAGAATTGTATAGAGAATTGAGTACTAAAGTGTTCACTCAAAGTGCTATAAAAGGCACAAGCAACTTAGTATGGAGTCATGCATACTATGATACACCGCTCTGGGAAAAACTATTGCAAGAACATTTGGGTGATAGGGTTCTCATAAAAACTGCTCGTGATTTAAACGCTCCAAAGGTATTTAAATAATTATATTTCTTTTGAAAAACTGAACCAAACATAGCAGGGTTGTTTTTCAATATAAATTTTCGTTCAGTTTTCAGCCATATCTGCTGTAGTAAATCATGCACGTGTGATGGCTTATGTGTTTCGAAATTATACTTTGCCTCACAGAGTAGAAAGTCAATATATAGGATCTCATAAGCATAAACTGTGGGAAGCTGTAAGAGCATCGGCAGCAGCTCCTAGTTATTTTGAAGAATTTAAACATGGTGAATGTCTTCATCAAGATGGAGGTATGGTTAAACAGATTTAAAAAATGATAATTGATTTGAAACAAGAGAAATTGAATAAACATTAAATTGATTGATCTACTAAATCGTACAGGTATACTAGTAAATAATCCATGTGCAGTTGCATTACATGAAGCTAAGCAGTTATGGCCAAATAATCCAATTCAGTGTGTAATTTCGTTTGGAACTGGACGAACACCGAATCGAATTTGTGAAAACAACGAATCGACAGAATTAGCGATTTCTAGTTGGAAAGAAAAATTTTATAAAATTTTGGACAGTGCAACAGATACGGAAGGTAACTCTTCTCTGAAAGACTTCTGAACACATTTAAATGTTTTGCACCGAAAGTCTATTTAAATAACGATTGTTTTATTACGCAGCTGTACATACAATGCTGAATGACTTACTACCTGAACATGTTTATTTCCGCTTTAATCCGTATTTAACGGAAATGTTGTCTATGGTAGAGATACGACCAGAAAAGATCACTCAATTGGAACAAGACGCAAAAATGTATATACGTAGAAATGAAGAGAAATTCCAGAAAGCTGCTAAAGTTTTGTTAGAGAGGAGACAAATCCAGCAAAAAGTTATGGACTGGATTGTGTTACAGAAAAAAATATCAGGTCTATGAATCTATATCTTGCATAGATTTGCATGCATTCCATAACTTATGCAAAAGGACATTAAAAGTTATGAAAGCACTAAGTACAAATCACATATAGCCTATAATGTTTTTCTTTCTTAATAATAAATTATTTTAATATTTTTATTTTATGTCACACTTTCATAATGAAAGATTGTAAAAAGTTTTATATATAACTATATGTCTATAATGTGCTTTTACACATATATGTAAACAATCATTTTTTTAAACAATCTTAAACAATTCTCTAATGTAATTGTAATTTATTAGATACAATTTTCATATAAATAATTAGTTTGATAAGTAAATAAGTGAATTTCTTACTGTGATTTATGTATGCATACTAACATACATATGTATATACCATATACTTATATATATGTATACGTATGTACTTATGTATGTTATATGTGTGACATAAGATGCGGACACGTTATTTTGATATCACAGTAGATACAAAGGTGAGTTTTTTGTTACGTGATGACATATGAAGTATTATTAGTCAATAAAAACTTGTGTTATTTATATTACTGTGATCATTATAATATCAAAATGTTTTTGACCAGTACACTTACTACAGGTATACGTTAACTGTGATTATTGTTCTTAAATAGATAAAATGTTGAATTATTGTACGTTTACAAAATTACTTATAACTGTCAAAGTAATTTATATTTCACAACTGAATGTACTATTACGTTTAAATCTTAGGCTATTTTCTATTTTATATATAGCTATACACATTTGTGAATAGATTAGTACAAAGAAAATTTTAAATAAGATAAGAAATTTGTATTCGTATAAACTGTCGTCACAGTAGTTAAATTTAATTTATGTAGCATTTTAACAAATATTGCAATGTTGTAAAATAGATGGTTAATTACAGATTTTATATTTTAGTGTTGTCGGAAAATCTTTATGTAAGAAATATATGACCAAAAATATTCAGTATCACTGTATATGTCCAAATTTATATTTGTCAAAATATTTGACCTCAAATAATGAATGTGTTTTAAAATAAATCTATAAAAGAGGAAATATAACTGGTACTACTATTTGTAATCATTGTAATTGTATTCTGATCATCCTCAAGATTCCTATCATCCAAGAAGTTGAAAGAAAATTTCCTGAAGAGTAAAATCGAGTGATTTTGAAAACCCAATTTTGTAGTGGTTATAGTTTCCAATATTGTCGCTAGATGACGCTAATAACTAAAGCAGCCGATTTTTATCACTCCATTTATAATAATAATTTGTAAACAATTTATTGAAATTAAAAATAGTAGTATTATAAAGAAAAGAATCACGTTAATGATGTATTTATGAAAAATATAGAATAATTGATTTTTCAAAATAAATCACGCCATCTAGCAGCAATAGCAGGAAATATTTTCGCTACAAACTTGGGCATTTTCTCATCGATGGCGCTACTAGCGAAAGAGTCAATAATTATTGCTGCATTAAATAACTATTCATAAATATGATAAATTTGACATATTAACTAATATATCGGAGTGTTATAAAGCAAAGAATCGTGTTAACAATGCATTTATGAAAAAAAAAAAAAAAATTAATGAAAATGTATCAGTATTGCCATCGTACAGAAATTATGGGAACTATTTTTACGACAAACTTGAGTGTTATTCCATCAGTGGCGCCACGAGTATTATATCAGCCGCTCACAGAACGGCTTAGTGAGCGGTATAAAAACCACTGATATTCCTTTGGACTTCCGTTTCTGAATGCGTTTATGTGCGTTTACGTAGCTTTGTAAGTGTGAATTTTATTTTTATATATCTCTGTAATCTGAACGGTATTGAATACAATATTATTAATAAATAGTTTCTGTGGCTTAAACAATACATTTTGTAACAATTTCTTGCATTAGTTTCTTTAGTAATCCGTTAAATAATAAAATTCCATTTCGAGAGGCATATAACCTCAAATATTTTTGTTTAAAACGTATCTTATTGTAACTAATTGAAATAATTACTCTTTCAGATTTAATAATACGAGAAAATGGCGAAGTCTAAAAATCACACCAATCATAATCAGAGTGAGTATAACAAGAAATACTTTTTTCTAACAAAATATAATTATGTATTTTTCTGTTGATTAGATCGTAAAGCCCACCGTAATGGTATCAAAAAGCCTAAACGTTACAGGCATGAATCTACACTAGGTGTAAGTCATTTATTCGTTTAATAGTAGTTGAATAATTAAATTGATAAATTTTTTAGTATAAGCAATGTATTATTAAATACTTATCGTAACTTTTTTTTAGATGGATTTGAAATTTCTAAGGAATCAACGTTTTGCAAAGAAGCATAATCCGAAATCAACAAAACAACAAAAGAGGGCAGGAAAGCTCTTACGTAAAGCTCTTCGTGACGCTGAGAAATAATATGTTTATGTATTAATAACTTTATTATAATAAAAATTGAAAAACAATTTTGTGTTACATGGATACTGTCCTGCAGTGTAATCCTGTTATTTCTGTTTACAACTTAAACATTGCAATTATTTATCGTAAAGTAATAGTAAATAAAACAAGATTGTAGGAGTATTTTATCTTTAAAATTGTAATAAAACGTTTCATAAAAAAAATTATCTCTATACATATTTATAGTTCCGTATGTAAATTTGCTCTCGATTGATTACAAATGTGACATTGCTTTTACATAAATGCATGATAATCGACGCTGACCTTTCTTGTCAACTAAGTTACGTATTAAAGAAAATTACAAATTAATAGTTTAGATTTCATAACTCTCGAACTAGATGTACAGTGTTTTTATACTCGCTCGTCAGACACGGCCAACTAAATAACCGATTTTCAAGTAACCCAATTTCAACATGGCGGCCGAAGAAGTTAAAGAAAAAAATTCATCAAAACCTCGAGTAATTTTATTAGTTAGTGGTAAAAGAAAATCTGGCAAGGATTTTATTACAGACATATTACAAGAGAAGTAAGTTCTGAATTATATCAATGGTAGTGATAATAAAGAACTTTTGATCTAATGATGTATCTACTTGTCAGAATTGGTCCTGACAGTAGTGTCATTATAAAACTGTCAGGACCAATCAAATTTCATTGGGCTAAATCTTTGGACCTTGATATTGATCAGTTACTAGGAGATGGAAAATACAAAGAAACTTATCGCCTTGAAATGGCTAAATGGGGAGAAAATATAAGAAAGAATGATTATGGTTACTTCTGTCGTGCAGCTATAGACATGTATCATGGTAAAAAAATTACTTCTTTATTTTAGAATATTTATTCCTTGTTTCATGGTAAACAGTTTGTTAGCAGTATTCATTATTTATTTCTACTTAATCATTTTACAATGACATCTTCCTTTATTCATACCTAACTTACATTTTACCAATGATAAATATAATTTTTTTGAAGCATACAGCAAACCAATATGGATAGTAAGTGATGTACGAAGAAAAACTGACATACAATGGTTTGTAGAAAATTTTGGAGGCATATGCAAAACAATTCATATTGTATCAGATGATTTAATTAGAGAGAAACGTGGTTGGACTTTTATGCCAGGTAAGTATTAAGCTCAAAGCCAAATTACATACATATTAGTTTAATTATTTTCAATATTGAAGTATTATAATAATATAATAATATATTTAATGTAGGTATCGATGATTCCGAAAGTGAATGCGATTTGGATGATGTCAAATCATGGGACTTGAAAGTAATTAATAATGGTGACAATGTAGAGTATATATTGCAACAGATATTAGAACTAATTAATTAGCAAAGAATAAAGTGTGTTAAACTTGATAAATTTATAATAAATGAATTGGTGATAATTATTTAATAAAACTTATACTTGTTGATATGTCCGTTTACGTCCGTCTTTCGAATTGTTCCGAATCGTCGGAATTTCCACCATTTTCTTTCGTATTGTGCCAATCGTGACCACTAAACAGAGACATTTGTTAGTATTTTTGGAAGTATGCGATATTTTATCGACTAATAGTCGCGGAACAAACAGTTTTTCGTATCTGTGCTGATCTATAATGTTATTTAGTTAGTAAATAATAATTGACGTTAGATGGCGTGATTCATACGAGAAAGGAAATTGAATGACGCAAATTGAGATCAGAAAACATATCAATCTATGTAGAATAGTTGATGTTTACTTTGTCTCTACGAACTTCGGTCGTAAAAGAATTCACGTTTTGAAATGTAAAGTGGTAATAGAAAATATCTAAATAATTTTATTAACTTTTGAAATGGTGGATCACTCACTACCTTCCGATATTCTTGACGATTTGAGCAGGTTAGCTTTCGGAGATAATACTTAAAAATTACATAGTATGAAATATTTATATTCATTACATCTGTATGACCTCTGTTTGAAATAATGCAACTTTTTGACAATGTTTGGTTTTAATTGAAATCATATTTTCAGTCGATTTATTATTAATGTGCCAGAAGAAGAAAGGAAAGATTTAGTTCGAATATGTTTTCAAATCGAACTAGCTCACTGGTTTTACTTAGATTTTTACTGTACCGACGAAAACCCAAAGCTTAGACAATGTAGTATGAGAGAATTTGCCACGCACATCTTTTTCCATGTACCATTTTTAAAACCACACGTTGCTAAAATAGATAATATCCTTGAACAGTGGAGAGAATACAAACAAAATGTTCCAACATTTGGGGCAATTGTATTAAACGAAGATTTAACTAAAGTGTTGCTTGTCCAAAGTTATTGGGCAAAAAGTAGTTGGAGTTTCCCCAAAGGCAAAGTTAACGAAGACGAAGATCCTTCTCATTGCGCTGTTCGAGAGGTTTTAGAAGAAACTGGTTTTGACATTTCAAACCTGATAAATGAAAATGAATATATCGAATCGGTGATAAATGAACAATTAGTAAGATTATACATAATATGTGGTGTTCAAAAAGATACAAAATTTCAACCGAAAACAAGAAAAGAAATAAAAAATGTAGAATGGTTTTCTGTAGCCGATTTACCTAACAACAAAAAAGATATGACTCCAAAAGTAAAAATAGGAGTTGGTCCGAATGCATTTTTTATGGTTATTCCTTTTGTAAGGTAAAACATAATTATACTAGCTCGATACAATTTTCTATATGCAATGTTTGAAACTTAATTTATTTTAACTAAACTTTTGTACCAATTTCTGAATAGGAGAATGAGACGTTGGATACAAGAAAAACATTACTGGGAAAAAAATGTAAAAATAGTAAAAAGACATAGACACAGATCTCTTGGTGATGTTGAAACTGTTTCGAAAGGTAAACGTCAACAACCGCTACTACTTCCTCATTCTGTTCAGGTAATTAAGTTTAATCTATTATTAATCTTATATGTTACTTGAAAATGACCTTAATGTGTTTTTATTTAATTACTTTTAGAATGATATTCCAAGTTTTAAAGACATAAAAAATATTCGACAATCTAATACTTCACCAGCGCGAAGTCGTCGTGGTGTATATGATAATAAAAATGCTATATCAAAAGCAGCAATCAAACGTAACCTATTCGGTGAACAAAATGAAGATGAAACTTCAGCTGTTTTAGCCAAACAATTAATGGACAGTCCACAAGGTCAACAATCTTGTGTATTTTTAATGGATCCAGCTATCCAATCTGTGAAATGCAATCAGTTTAGTTACAAAGCGCAAGATTTTACCAAAAGAATAAAAGGTTTGCTTTCTAAGTATAAAGTTTTCTTTTGTATATGTACAATTTAAATTATTTTATATTTAATATATAAAATAATTTGTTCTTTTCAGATCGATCGCCTCAACTTCAGAAATCTCAGAATACACAGTTTTTAGAGGGAAATATAAAAGCTTTGTTATTTGGCAAAGCGGCAAGTAAACTACCAACGAATTTAAACAACATGTCTTCCCCATTCGGTGCTATCGAACGTAGTACACGTTTCCGTTCAAAAAATTATCTTGGAACACAAAAATACTCTACAAATTTTTGTTCAATGATTTGGACACACTTTAAGTTTGACAAACAAGCAATACTTAATTGTTTATAAATTTTTTTAAGAACTGCAATTGTCGTGTATTTTTTTTTTTTTTTTTTTTTTTTTTATATTCATACACATTTACGAACAATCACGTATAAAAATATAGAATTAAATGTAACTTTAATCATTTGCGATCTCAAGAATTTGCTCTTAAATTGTATTTTGTTTTTGAATGATCTTATCGTGTACAATAATATAATGATAAGGTGAATACATTACTAATTCGTAATGTTTCTTAAATATTTAACGTTTTTCTTTTATCATACACCCACGATAATTTAACTAAAAACTTGCAACGAAATGATTGGTTGATGCGATGATTAAATCAAATTTAAAGTATGACGTACAGACGATGATGACGCTACAATTTGTTTACAGGCATGGAAAAAGTTATAAAAGTTTACACATTGTACATAATTCTGTTTTACAAGTACTTATTTTTATGTAACAAATAAATCTTGCACATGTTTCATTCTAATTAACAGACTAACTACATAGGAATAACAAATTAGCGACCAATAATTAATCATATTGTTTTACACATAGAATGTGAAAATTAATTTCACTGTCTCAGCATAGACACGTACATCGCATATGTATCGTGTGATAGAAATTTGTCACATTTCAGTAAAAGTACCACTCCTATTCGTATGAAAATAAATTCCGCATAAAACAGTTGTCAAAAAGTTATATGTACACAATTATGGAAAAGAAATAATTTAATACATTTTATTACTTGAAGTAAACGAGAAAGATGAAGAGAATTAACATAAAAACAGTAATAAAATACAGTATCTTTTTAAAAAGTACAGTGCCAGCACCATGCACACTTTTGATAATCTCATTATTTAATGCAAAAACTATTTTACTTTCTTCGAGAAGTTTATTTTTTGTATCTTCATCCAACATTTCCGCAATCTTGTTCATTGTATCGCGCATATTTTGTTTAAGTTCATAGATACTGTTACTTTCAAAGTCTGTAATACTATTACCACTCATCTCGGTTTCTTTAAACGGTAAAACTTTCTGCATAAGTAATCTTTTTTTACGTAAAATGATTCCTCCGCTAAGAAGACCCATATATAGATGATAAATGTACGCTGTCAGTAATGTAGGATCAGTATCTTCTATTTCCCTTAAACGCATCAGATATTTGATGACACTGTCCCTGGAGTTTGAAACGATGTTAAATATATGCTTTAGATGATAAGACATGCAGACAAGACTATACCTAGGACTGTAGTTTTTCATCCATCCTTTTCCTAAATAAAAATCAAGGTCACGTTCGAAAGCTTTCGTACGTTGAAGTTTTTCGAGTGGAAATAATCCTATTTTGGTACTGCTCAATCTAAACATAGCACCCTCCAAATACCGAAAAATTTCATAAAATACCAACAGGCCATCGGCCCATACAGAATCATCGAGAAATCCTGTTTAAAGTAGACGATATTTGGCAATACGATAAAATAGCATTCTCAAATCCTTACAGTTATCTACCGTTACTTTCTTATATAAAGACCCTATCGTACAAAGTCATTGTATTATCGAATACACTATTCATAGAGAAGTAAAAAGTAACATTAAAATACTACAATAATACGTAATGCTAAGTGACACAAACAGTGAAAAACATTAAAATATCTCGCTTAAAACGCGCTGTTTATCTTACCAAATGCTAATTTCGCATTCACCAGAGCATCACTGATCGTATGAACCCTTTTAGTTGCTTTCCGCATCTTATCACAAAATGTATCTTCATTTTTATCCGACATTTTGACAAGATTTATGTATTTTTCGAGGTGGTACTACGAAATTGAGAAACAATTATGCTGTCATTCTTTTTTATTAAATATTTATGCATTCAGAATGTTTCACCGATCGCAAATGCCAAGTTGTAGGTATCACCATTTCACGTTTGACATCTAAAAACTAAAACACCATTATGCCATACTTGTGCGTTGATCGAGAGAGAATAGCATTCTCCACAAAATGCTTTGTTTGTTGTTTAGTTTGAAAGTAGACGCGAGATGACACTGTATTCGTATAATGAAGAAAACACCTCTTACAATCAGTACGATACGTTAATTATAGATAATTACAGTAAAGGTTCGAAGGTTCGAACAACGGTAGTTAAAAACAGTTGAACCGATCTGAAATTTTCTTCTTACTAAATGATATTACTCTGTTAATGTAAAATTTCGAATTGAATAAGTAGAAATGACAGTACGGTAGAATACTTTAACTCTACGTATACTCAATTTACATATTTTAGTAAAATTTATATTTCTTTGTGTAATAAGGACGTAACGCCATCCGTGGTACAATGCCTAAGCTTGTAGAGAAATAGTATATTCTCTTCGTCGCTAGATGGCGAACTAGTTTATTTAAAACCAAGTAAGGAAAAATAAGAGTTGATAAGTGTTTTTTCGCATAAGAATAATAATGATCATGACTGCAAATACTAAAAATTTATCCCCCCCAAAAAACGTTTTGAAAACGATTCTGAAATTGAATTGTAGGTAGGCAAGTTTTGCGAAAATAAAGCCCCAAACCCAAGGAAGAAGAGAGTTTTGTAAGTGAATAACGCGATACAATTTTTTTAACGAGAAAACGACTTCAGAATCGTGTTTCTCGCCCCAAAAAACATTGAAAACCATATTATGGGCGAGATCTAAAAATAGAAATTTTCTGGTCGAAAATCGGCAAGGCATCAACCTTGGCCCTTGAAATTTTCAGCTTTTGCAACTATTTATTTTTTTACTCCAGAACATTAAATGGGAATTCGATGAAATTTTTACCGAATGTCTATGTTCACAATAGGTACCCATAAAAAAATCGGTGACCCGCTAGAAAAATTGTAAGAACCTCAAAAAAATTCGTAACTGTTTTTGAGGTTTGTGATCTTTGACCCGAATTTTGAGAGTGTCCATAAATCCATCTGAGCGTTTTTTAGCATTAAACAACTTTTGTTGGGCTTTAAAAAAGCTTTTCAACGCTGTATGTATTGATTAGATTGGTTAAGAATTGAGGTAGTTATGGATGTTTAAAGTTGACAAGCCAATCTTGGGTCACGATTTTTGTCAATTTCCCCAGGGTTATTATAGGGAATAAAAAAATTGTATCCAATCATATAAATAACATATTTATTTCGAATGTTACGAATGTAATTTTTGTTTTGTGCGACAAATGTTGTTGGTATTCATTGATTTTTCATACTCACGAAACTCGGTATTTATAGGGTTTTTTGGGTGCTGAACTCGAATATGATGTTATTTTTGCTTTAAAAAATTTTCCTGGGGTAGTTTCCAAATGTTGTTAGTACCAAAAGCAGTTTTTTGACAATAACTTGAGAAATAATTTTCCTAGAATTTGTAAACAACTTTCACTGAATTTCTCGCATCGATTTTAGTGCGAATCGATAAAAATATTGCCAAAATTAAAATATTCGCTTTTTGGCTTTTTGAATTCTTTTTGGGCACTCTGAGGTCCCATCCACAAAGACCCTCAAACACGGCGAAACTTTATTAGGGTCTAGAATCACCAAAAAGAGTGTAAACCAGATCTGAAGTTACATGACCGTGTTCTCCCCTTAGTTAGTGCATTACAAACCAATGAAGACGTCTTCTGAGAAAAAATAATATGTCTTGTCGCAGGAAATTATTAAGTATGGTGCAGCAGGTGGTGGTTCGCGATCAGTTAGTCGTGAGACATCCTGTCACTTGATTTTCAATCTCTCCAACTCTTGCGTGTGCTCGAAGTCTGTAAATTTTTAACTGTGCACGTCCTTTATTTTCTCAAATTTTATAATTATTCCCTTTCTCGTTAGCTAGGTTTTCCATCAAACGAAGAGGATTTTTTAAGAATAAGAATAAGAATAAGAAATTTCATTCGTAAATTATATTCGTTAAAAACTTATCGTTATTTAAAGACACACGTCTCGTATTTGGAATTTTTCAATGATTAAGTGTAAATTATTCGAGAAGAAAAAAGAAGAAAATATCTTGAGAACGTGTATAGAAGTGCGGAGGCGAGGTGTGACGAGAGGTGAAGAACAAGGTACGTTCTGCTTGGTATTTCCATGATGAACCTGCAGATATTGTACGTGCTCCCGTCTCATCCACCTTTTCAGCTCGTCTGGCAAGTAAATAAGCTACTTTCTCGTATCACCGAAGAAGAAAAAAATACCGCGAAAAAATAAGAGTGTATTCAACATAACCATTCGGTAGGTAATACTCGTCGAGATTAGAAATATTTGCGTCGAAATAATTTCGCCCCTTTTTGTTTCGCGTGTCATCGGTCCCGTTAAAATTTGTTTCGTCTTAAATATCAAACGTAATCTATTCTATACCGACCTCGTTAACAAACAACGCGACAATAATTTTCTACGCGTAGCTGTAATAATTCAATTTAACTCGTGCGGTTATCTGCGCGTATAAACGTGGCTGACGAGTATCTTTCGAATTAAGTTTCTAAAACGAGTTAATTTCATTTCACGCACTTCATGCACCGAGGAACATTCGTTACTTTTACTCTTACTTTAATATATAAACGATATTATTATTTGAATCAGTATTAACTTTTTGATTAAATTGTTGCCGTTTTATCGTTTAAATTATAAGAATATGTTTAATTATTTGATTATAACGATTTCTCGTTTGTTAACAATGTTTTTTAATTCCGATACGTTATTAATTAATTAACAAGGATCATATGTTAATATTTATAAAATAACATATTTATTTCGAATGTTACGAATGTAATTTTTGTTTTGTGCGACAAATGTTGTTGGTATTCATTGATTTTTCATTTTCTTGTTATATATTTCGCATAAAATCATTTTACCATCCTTCTGCCTTTCAACATTATCCCTTTTATCGTCCGCATAAATAAATATGCAAATAGTGCGATTTACATATACCTACATTTACAATTCTAAACATATATTATTATTTAATATTCATCCTATAAAAAATACATAATGTGTAACAGCATTTCCAAATAAAGAATTCCTCGTTGTAAAATTTAGCTGTAGAATTTTAATGTGACATCAGGCCCTGTCAGCCTAGTCTATGTTTATTTATTTAGAATTTTAACACATACCACCGATAGTTACTTCGATTTTCTAGTTTACTCCTATTTAGTCCCATTCGATGGTTGTGTACCAAGCTGGATGGAAATTGCTTCGACTCGAACATTTCGCTTCCGTTACGATGATAACAGGATCTCGGGTGATGTGTAATTCGCCTATAGGAGAAACGAGATAAATAAGGATCTTCATTCGGCGCAGCCTGCGGCTTTCCTTCGTCAAGGAGCCCGATCACTCGTTACAATTTCGTCGATCAGACATGGAATTGTCCGTTCTTGGTCGGAGTCGCCTCGAGCGACTTTTCCTCGTACGAACGGAATGCGTGCGGAGCCCGCGGAGCTTGTGGATGTGATGGCTCTGATAAGGTTCGAGCTTGCGCTAGTACGTTAACTCTTCGAACCGTGACGTCGCATTTACCAGACGAACGGCGGAATAATTCTCAATTCACCGGCACGATCGCGAATTATTCGTTAATTTCACGAATTCCTCACACCAATTAATTTCACGATTTTCCGTTCCCTTTTCCCTCTTTTAATTTCGTAGCACTTTCAGCTTGTCGCGTTCCCGTTTACCGCGGCTATGCCATGATTTGTTTCATTTTTAACTTGTAAATGTTTCGTACAACGATCGGTGGGATTCCTTGCATGTTTCCACGCACTTTTATTACGGCGATATCATGCACGCGTAACTTTTCCGAAGCCGTCGCGTCGTTTCGTGCGCCGTTCCCTGTATACATTTACAAAACAAAACGAACGATTTCTTCCTCTACCTCGACTCTTGGAAACGCTTAATACGGAATAAGAGACGAATTAGCTCCTTCCCGTACGATTCGAAGGAAAGAAATTTTCTTACAATATCATATTCGTCGTTTCATATTTCTTTTTATCTCGCGATTAACGCGCTTTCGATCCTTTGATAACGAACGACCGAGAACTACGTTTCTTTTGTAACGCTGAACGAGGGGGAAGAAAAAATGGCAGAGTTGAAAATTATGCTACCGAGGAATCGTGGAAAGCGCAAGCAGTAGCCACCAGGGTGCATTTTCCTTCTTAGAGGATGGTAACGGTGCGCGACTATGGTAGATCGACCGTGAAACTAATGTCAGTTTCTTCTCGTATAAACTGCATACCGAATATCCGCAAACTCTGCGAAAGCATAGTTGCTCTCCTATCTTTGTGCACCATTTTTTTTTCTCCTTTTCCTTTTTCGTATTCTTGTTCTCCTTTTTACTCGAGAATCTTTGTTTCAACGACGCAACGCCACGTTGGAAGGCAGACAGTAGCACAGTGGGTAGCCGACTACCACATTGATAGCCCTGGTTCGAATCCCGTTCGATTTTTCATGGTTGGGTTAGGTCGATCGCACACAGTTTCAAACCACTCTGAAACTAGTTGCATGCGATCCAGGTAAAACAAAGACAGTGGAGTAGGTAAAACAAAGAGCGCAAACGGTTTGCAACACTAATTTCAAATCGGTTGCGCCGTGTGCGATTAAAACGCGCGTTTTAATGTTTTGTCGCGTCGGTGCCGGTACGTGTCGTTGCCGGTCCGTGTCGTATAGTCTGAATCGACCTTAAGGAGTATGAAGAAAAAAGCCTGTTGGCTTAAAATAAAGGAAAATGATAAAAACCAAGAATGGATAATGATGAAAATGTCTCAAAAAATTGTATCGGTGCAATGCAAGGAGATTATCGCTTGAGCACCTTAAATAAAAAAACTCAAACTCAAACGCAACGTTGGCGTACACTAACGTACAGCAACCGTGTACCGTGTACAGTGTACGCGAAGATGGAAGATCGAGAGATAGCGCTAGTCCGAACCTGCGACGGTGTCCAATAATTAATCTTTCAATTTTTCATTTATACATCGCGTTCGTCTAACAACGGAAACGAACAACGTCCAAAACCGGTACACATTTTCCACTCGTAAGACAAGCACGTCTCTTCTTCTTTATCGCTTTACAAAAACTGCCGCGATGTTTTTCTCGAGACGACGTATCGTTCCGAGCTACTTCGCGTCATGCGTGTCCACGTCGGTAACCCTTCTACCTACGTATGTATATTTTTCGATGATCGATAAACGAGTCGGTTTCGACCCCTATTCTTCGCTCGGATTATCGAATCAAGGTACAGGTACAAGGTACAGCACCGCACGATTATAGATATTTTCTCGACGTTACGGTGAAATTTCTCCGAATAATACGATCACGTTTAAACAGTATTAATGGGATATTTGTGTCCGCGTTCATCGACAACGAAAACATCTGTTTCCATGATCTCTCCTATCTATCGAAACAGTGTTTTCGTTTCATTTTAAGAGCATTATCTTGCTTCGATAGTAAAGCAAACGTGGTTAAACTCTCCCCGCCGAAATAAAACTGGCAACTGTTACGTTTGTTCGAATTGTTTACAATTCGATCGGCCGCGCAAAGGTGAATCGTTGGTCGACATTTAGTTGCGTATAATTGCGAAAGCATCTCTATTAGATAGGAGAAACCTACATGAATATTCAACGGGACTCGGTATTAACTGCGTTATAATCTCGTACACCGAATATAAGCAACGTGTAATATTGTTTCGTAGCATTGTTGCTCTCCCCTGTAATTTTATTTCAAACAGTGGTTAATTTCCACTAGATAACGCAGAATCCATGTTTAAATTCGTATCGGTCACGAATTCGCTGGAATACACACGGCAAAAAAAGTCGAGACGTTAAAAAAGAGAATGGTAAATAAGCGAATAGGAATTGTATTTTAACATTAATAAAGTAGAAAAATAGTAGAAAAGAGAGTGGATATCGAAATACCGACAAATACGTTCGAAGAAACCACAGGTTTCTTCCAGGTGTTCGTGACGGAAGGGGTACGGTTAGATTTCTGTCCCCAATGGTGGTGCAAGCTCCGGTGTCTCTCATTGGTCTTACTGATCTGTGACGTCACTACGCCGGCCTATGTATAAGGTGAAGCACGCGGAGCGTCAGTTCATCGTTGTCCGTCACGTCGAGCAGGTCTTGCCTTTGAATCGCCCTTTCCGCGAATCGACGGACGAATCTTCGTTTCGAGCCGATCGACCAATCAAACGACCTCTCTGTCTGGTTCCGAACATTTGTATACACCGAAGAAAGGTAAGAGATTCGTATACCCTTGTATACCAACAAGTTCCAGCATGCGTCGACTCGTAGTTTATTTTCTTTTTCGATGTATTCTTCACGATACGAAAAAATAATCTGGTGAATCTTGTTCGTTTCGATATCGGTGATAATTTAGTTTCTCCAATCACTTTCAATCTATACTATCTTCATTTTCCTCGCACCCTATGAATTCTTCGAGCCTTCCGTATTCCTAGTTATATCGTTGCTACAGTTCGCGTGTACTTTTATGTATACGTCTGCATGTACCTTGCGTATGTGTTCCATCGTAAAAGAGAAACTTTCATTGAAACAATAGGCGGCGTCGTTTGTACAATACCGGTAGATATAATACATACCGGATCCCTCGCTTCAGAGGATGCGAAAGATATTCTTCCAACATTCAAGGTCTGTCACGAATAAGAAATGATTAACATTTAAACGAAAATTAGTCGAGGCATGAAAATGTCACGCGTTGTAAATGATAATAACGTCGCCAGCTTGAAACGCTATTCGTGGAAGAAACAGGTGTTGCGATACTAGGTTTACGCGAAAATCAAATTATTACAGTCTCGGACGTATCGCGTTAATTTAACGCACGTAGAGAAGAGGATGACGAAATTTGACAGCGTGTGCAATACTATATCGGCAGGAGAGTATACACCTCGTCACGTATCAAAGTGACCCGTGTACGTAATAAAGCGACGCTATTTGCTAGGACTGGATTCACTTTGTTGCCTCGGGGAATGCAAACTTCCGTCTCGAATTGTCTATTCCCTAGGCTAATTGAACGTACCGAACCTCGATTCGCTCGGCTCCGTCGGCGTCGCGTCGACTCGCGGAGTCCACCGCTCGCGTTCGTGACGAACGTTTATAGAATTTACCGGATACCAGCCAACGATAAACTTGTCGAATATTTGCAAATTAGTTGCGCCATCGTTGCTTCCGAACTGTTCGAGTTGGCGAGCTGTACTGTCGAGACATTAAGTAAACGCTTGCCTACGCGAGACGTTGCTGGAACGTACAATGGCGGCCATACCCTTACCTACGAGTTATATATTAATTTCTAATTTGCGCATATGAGCTTAGGGACATCGAAAGGGTAACACTAAATTACATACAGCGAAATAATGATAGGTTCGCTTTAATTTGTTAATATAAACATGTGTCTTATATACTATTTTTGAGTTTATTTATTATTATTTATTCTTTCTAATACAATTAACAAAATACATAATTGAAATGAATGACATGATATAATTACTGTCAATTTCAAATTTTTAGATATAAAATACAGTAACGAAAATCATCGTTCAAAAAAATCAAAATGCCTCCAAAATTCAGGTGCGTCTTATACTCGAAATCACTATAAAAATGTCCAGTGTTCGATTTAAAATTCCCGCCAATCTTAAAAATGGCCACATTTCGGTCACGGTACTCGGATATATTCAACGTTGTTTTACAAAATAATTTGTAAATATTTTTTAAGATCTTTTCTGGGGATTTTAACTTTAAATTTGATATCTGTCAGCTTCGGTTACGCTGCGATCGGTTTTCGAGTCGGTCCTCGTTTTTCGAGGATCCGAGGAATTTCGTCCGAAGTTCCATATCGTTTGATGCGCTGCATAGCTTGCCAATGAACCATCGTAGATATTCTATGACCTTTGGAATGTTGCTAAGCAATTCCGTCTGGAAACGTTGTCGTGGTGTAATTTTCTTTTCTCTGTACATCGCGGTACAATTGGAACGTTTCTATTTACGCTATTCGACGGAAACCCAACGAAGATTATGATTTAATTAGCTACTTGTCCGTTCCAGACGATGTAACTCGATACAATGTATTTTAGAATTCCTTGTTTTCGTGGAACAAAGGAAAACTTTGACGCTGGTTTCCGAGGCAAGATCAAGGTTGTTTGAAAACAATATGTAGCGAGAACTTTTCATTCTTCTTAAGAAAATAGCGATTCTTTGAAAATTAAAATGTATTTGGTATATACGACCCCGTACACGTATTTATGTATAATCAACCGTTTCCTAGTTGCGTCGCTCGGGCTTTAGTTTATTTTGCTGCAACGATTATTTAGACAACGCGAATGTTCCGTAAAGTTGAGCAATCGTCTTACGTGCAGCTCGAGTCGCTGTTCTAAATTAACGTAACGTTGCGTCTTTTATTTCCCAAAAGCAACAAGACGATTGGAATTGTAGACGAGTTAATTAAATGTTAAGAAACAACGGTCAATCGTCGCTCCTTTTAAGGTAACGTAAAGATGCCTCGAGAACGAATTCACGCGTCCGATTTCATTAAAACATATCGAACGAAATAGCCTACGTAGTTCGTTGATTGGTTGCGAAACGTTTACGCAGTTATGCGTTTCATCGTTTCTCCGAGTCCATTCAATATTCGATGTTTCGTTCCGTTTACGGTTTCGCTTTACCGAAGACGGATACCAAGGAAACGTGCAAACGCACACCGAATATCGAAATGTCTGTTCGATGTTAATCACGCTTTAGAAAGAGCCCCCGAGTCCCTTTTCAAATATTTCCCAGCTTACGATTAAGAATCACGATACCGTACAAATATCGTACCACGAAAGTACGCCGGATCGTTACATCTTAATTTCCTAGATAACGCGTGGGCTATTCTTTTATTCTTCTCGTTCCTTCGCTTCGTCTCCGGGATTCTTTCTGGCTCTTTTGAGCGCGAGTATTTATAAGGTACTTTACGAAATTAACAAAAATACAACGATAGGAATACATCGAGTAAAAAAGAAAGTCGAGATCGTTGGTTGATTACAGGGAAACCGTGGATACCGTTCCAACGCGTTATACAGAAAATGCAGCCACGTTTGCATACAAAGGTTAATACTAACGGTGGAATTATACGAAACAACTATACATACGTATGATTAGATAAAGTTCGGGGAAATGTCCTGTTCGTTGTGCAAAGTAACGGTAGGTGCTAAGCACCTGGCGGTCCTGAAGATCAAGATTTAATTAAAACTTTTGCGCGCTTCGAGTTGCCCGTATAATACGCTGCAAGTCCGGAAGTTGTAAAATATCGATTGCGATGTTACAGTGGCATCGGTTAATCGTCATCGTTTCGAAATTAAAATGAAATATCTACCTCTGTGCGACTCTTAAAATTAAACGTATTCGTTCGGTTGAGCCTGTCGGGCATGCGTAAGGCTATACTACTTCGTTCCGCTCTTCGTTATGCTCTTTGATACGAGCGACTCGTTTCGAAGAATCTATCGCGTTTTGTAAGCGTGCAGTATCTTATTTTAACCCTTTCGGTACGGAGGACCTGGTTATACATTCATGGTACAGTATTACATCGAAATAAGCAAATTGCTATCCTCGCCTTTTGGTTCGAAGTCGCCGAAAATCGGTGTTTGAAGTCGGCCGAGATCCGAAAAGAAGCGAGTGGTGCGTATAAACGATAAGCCGTACAGATTAGTGGAAAGACCACGGAATATGTGTAATGTTTTCTCTTTCTCTGGCGTGTGTATTCCCCAAAACCGAAACAATACTGTTAGTTGTATGCAGTTTGCCGCTACACCGAACCCCCCTGTTTTTTTCTACGGGTTCCTTTTCGTCACGCTCGAGAACAAAGTCAAGCCGCATAGCATATCTCCCTCGAAATAAGCAACTCGTTGGTCCCAATCGATTTTTTCAAAGAAGTTGCACCGTATGGCAGCGTAAGCCGCGAAAATGTGTTACGCGAAATGCATAGAAATCTCTAGCGTGATTGACACTAACGACATAACATTTCAACATTATACGTCAGAATAGTGAAAGATACAGAATACTCCCACTTCATACAGCGTTACACAATGTCTCAAACCATAATTCAGGAAGAGACGTATTCTACGTCTCCAATTCAATGAATTTTGAAGCAGCCTCGGTAAGAACAGTCAACGATCGAAAAACTATTGAGAAACTTCGTAGCGTTCGACGCGATAAGACAAGGAGACTTCAACGCTGTAAAGGGTATATTGCGAGCCACGGTGAGAACCGCGTTTAAAGACTCCAGCTCGAATAAAGATGCGGAGACAAAGTTTGTAACGTCAACTTTCAGCGGTGTATCGTGTCAAAGTGTCAAACTCTTTTCCTTTTTTGAAAAATCCAAGGGAATCGAGCGAAACTAATCAGTAGAAACGCACGGTAATCTTTGTGCACATAAAGTTTCAATTGCATCGACGACAAATTACAGAGGGATTCGTCTCCGCCGTCAAACTTGTCAAATACAATTACGATAGTAGTTAAGCGAAAAGTGTAGCGCCCTGGAAACAAGGGTAGGTCAGTTGGCGGCCGGTTAGAAATTTACACTGTCGGTAAATCGTTGATTAACTAGGCTCGAGGGAATGGCATCTCAAAACTTCTTCGCTCTAAGCAACGAGCTTTTTCATTGCGAGTTAGCCGGCTGCTAATCCGTTTGTAATTGGATACTTCTCAGTTTATCGCTCGGGCTTGATCAAGCCCTGCTTTCTATCGGGATACGATAAAAAAAAAAAAAGCTTATCCGCTGCATGGCGCGGTCGAAAAAAGGAATATACCGCTTCCCTCCTCCCTAATATCCGACTAGTCACAAAAAAGCTCGTTTTGCAAATTAAAAAACTGCAATAAATCCTGCACAGAACATTGTTTCCGACTACGCGAAACCGTACAGATCACTACAGATGTCAAATAGAATTTTAACTTTGTTCTTTATACGTTCGCTTGGCTTACTTTATAATTATTATCTGGTCACTTTAATTCGTTCGAGTTATCCATTGTGAAATTCGATACGCTGCAGAAAATCGAGCAGAGGACGGTGCAACTGATAGACTCTATTAAATTCGATACGTATGTCCACCATTACAATCCAAGTAAATTGGTCTTGTATTTTTACACTCTTCGATATTCTGATTCTGTATCGAACGCGATACGTTCGCGATTTTTGCATGCGATTTTGAATACAACGACGAGCCAATTTTGGTATCAAACTAATCGTTTAC